ATATATATATATATATACACACACACACACTGTATATATAGTATCATTTGGTGTACAACAATAATATTAACAATGATAACATTAATGCATATAAAAAAATATTGGACTTTTTGTGGTTGTACTAATTCATAAAAAATGAAACCAAATGACAGAAAGGAAACGAGGTCCCGCTCGCCTGCAGGACGGTCGTCTTGTTGTCCCTGAACAGCAGTCGAGACAGTCGGCCGGGCGTTTTCTTGATCACGGTCGGGATGACGAGGAGCTGAGCGCCGGACGACAAGGCCAGGAACATATCCACCACAGAGGGGTCAAAGGTTAAGGGCGAGGCCAGGAGAACCACATCGTCTGCACTCATCTGAAACAAAGACCTGAGCCAAGAGAGGATGAACTATTTAAAAACATGTAACGATGGTTTAGAGGCCGATAAAGACACAAACACTCACCTCAGGTGCAGGATATTGGGGAGAATACACTTGTGCGGCACCCTCACGATCTTCGGGAGCCCAGTTGTTCCAGATGTGTGCAGCACATACGCCAGGTCTCTGAGCCCGGCCTCCTTTGACCCTGCAGCCGGATCACGGCGGAGACCAGCACCCCCTGCTGTCTGGGCTCCGGTTTGTTCCGGTCCTCGTTGGTGCTCAGCGACCGGCAGCAGCTCCAGTCGTACCAGAGTCAGTTTGAACTTTGGCAGCGTCGCACAAACCTCCACGGACGCGTGTTCGACGAGAGCTGCCTGGAACCGCTTTTTTACACAAAGAAGAGACAAAGAGGGACTTCAACAGATGTATAACTAATATACAAGAAACTCAAGTGTAGCGTGAATGCTTTTATAGGATTTATCGGAGATATTTGGTTGAACTCAGGGTTTTGATGCACTAACAAATGTTTTCATCAGTCCGTTTCTGTGATTTGATTAATTGCACCACTAAAATACAATAACAGCTACACTGGATCCTGGAATATTAGCTAATTTTATGGCCCTGTCTTGTGATGTCATAATTCATTTTTAAGATTTAGATTATTTCATCTATATTGAGCAGATTTCACATGGTCCTGAGAGGAACAATAATTAATTCAGCTGTAGTTTGAACTCAACTTTATTTATTTATTTAGCACATTTCATACAAACATGCAACCCAAAGAGTTTCACATGGGACAAATATGAAATAAACCAGAAATACAATTTTGCAAGACAAATAAATTACAACAGTAAAACAATACAATATTAAAAATGTAAAAAAAAAAAAGTAAAGAAACCCCAGAAATAATTAGTTAAAGCTTAAAGACTAAGGCTATAATATTACTCCAAATTAAAATGATAGGCCTTTAATTTATTTTTAAAAACACAGAGAGAGCTTGTTGTTCTGGTAACCATTAAGGGAATAAAACCAGAAGGCACACTCACCGCATCTTTTATGGGACACATAAGGAACATTTAAAAAGGACCTCAGTGATCAGGTTGGATCATGAAATGAAATGAAATCTCTCTCTCAGTCCTAAGAGATAAAGAGATAAAGATAGCCAGTGTAATGTTTTATGCTGTGGAGTAATGTCATCCTTTTTCCTTGGTTTAAAGATTATTTTCACTTGCTGTGTTTGCATAATGAATCATGATCATTATTGTTGTATCTATACATTCATGAGATATTAAACCTGCAGGACGTCGGTCTTCACAGCGCAGTACTTGAGGCCACACTGGTTCATGACTCTGGCGGTGAGGAGTCCAGGAGCTTCTGGGTCCAGCGGGACGTAGGCAGCCGGTGACTGCAGGATGCTGGACAGCAACACAGGACAGTTCATGATCCTTCATGCTACTTATTATTATTAAAAAGGGTATAATAATGACAGAACTAATTCTAAAATAAAGGTTTGGACCATCATCCGCAGACTTTAAACCCAACTAAAAATACGTTTTAAGTCTTTAAAAAAGAAGAAGATGATACTGTTGTAGCCTCCTGGTCAGATGCTGTGTTGTCACATGGAGTGAAAACAACAACAGTGAACTCACCCCAGAATCCAGACAGGTATGAACAAATCATCAGAACAGTACAGCCCGATCACTCCGCTATTAGGAGCGCAGTTGTTTCGCAGAACACGAGCCAGCTCACCGGACAGTCGGACCAGGTCTCTGTACAGCAGCATGGACCCGTCATACTTCACAGCTGCTCTGTCCGAGTGCAAAGAGGCAGCGGCGGCTACGAGCTCCTGCAGCGTCCGAGCGGCCATACTGACGATGAGCCGTTTAAGGACCACCAGCTCATCCTCAGTTAGTGTCAACTCTGTACAAAAAAACCCAACAACGTTTAGATCGTATTCTAATTTATATATTGCTCAATTCAGATGAATTGGGGTTTTGTTTTGGATGGAAGAGGCGGAAACGTGTTTGAAGTTTGTCGCGTGAAGATGACGTCCCCACTGATGGCTGTTTCAAATGCTTCTGTTATAGTCGGTCGTACCGACATCTTACTTATCGTGATTAGGCCCAAAAAACAACAATATACAGAGCAGAAAACATAAGAAATTCCCTCCACCATATTACTGACTACATATGTGTAACACTGACATAAAAAAATGAAAACCTTTTTTTCAACCTAAAATATACAAGAGCGCTATTTCAGAAAGCATAATTTCCGAGTGACTGTGAAGGCCACCCTGTCCAATCGTCGGTCCCGAGAAACAATTTTAAACCTAAAGAGCGCCATTTGTTTTCGAACAAGTAGCCTGCTGCTACTACTCTATTAAATTAAATAAACGTACTTTTATAGGCAACATGGACGACGTTTTAAAGACACGACTATCTATGAATAGTTTCAACTACAAAAGCTCAATGGAACGAATCATAGACAAGGTGTGTTCAATGAGGCTAACGGGTTTAACGGTTGTTGTGCTACCGTTAGCACGTACGTTAACGTTAGTGGAGTAACTTAGCGTAGCTACCGTTAGCTTGAATTCACTTTAAAGATGAACTCTGAAGCTGTTTGCTTTAACGTCACGTCTGTTTTTGTTTACTACAGTATTCAAAGCTTCAGTACCAAGATGGAGGAGTGGAGGTGGACCTCAACAGCACAACAACACAAAGTAAGTAACTTAACGCACCGTTAAATAGTAACGTTACTCTCTTTAGGATGTGTAGTAGTAATATATTTCGGTCCTTGTTAACAATTTGCCAAATGGAATTAGCTAATGCACATATAAATTAAGAGATTAGGGCTGCAACTAAGGCTTATTACATTTTATTTTATTTATCGAGTAATCACTCAATTTGTTTGTATTTATACAATATTTCCTGACTGATAATAACTGTAGTATAAGTTAGTTTAAATGATCAATGTGTGAGCATATTGCTGAATTAATCATTTGTTCCACCGATTAGTCAATCAACAGTATATTAAGTAGCACTTTTAATAATTGATTTATTGTTAGCTGTTGTGTATATAATGCTAGTAAAATAATTATTTTAGTTTTTTAGTTTTGTTTTGGTTGTCACCTTTAAATAAGTCCCTTAAGTTTTTCAACTTTTTATTCTAAATTATCAATCAAGACATTTTACTGATTAATCAATAATTACATTATGTTACAATAAAGTTGCAGCTGTAAGTTTTTCTTTTGGTTAAACTAACCAGTCGGTGATTTGTCTCCATGTCTGCGGTTGTCATGTGTTCTCATTGTGTTTCTTTCTCTCTCGACTCTTTTCATGATGAAGCTCTTGAACGCTACATGATTCTGTCGAAAGCAGAGATCAGCAAACTGGAATCAAAGGTTTGGGTCGCGATGAACAAATACTGCAGCCACTTATGACACAAAACACAATAACATGATTTATAAAGGTGTGAATCTATCGAACAATTGTCAACAACAAATCAGACTCACACATTTCATGTCGGATTACTGTCCGTCAATATCCAAATTCCTTCATTTAAACATTGATTTTTAAAAGTTGTGAATCGATTCAGAATCTTAAAGATGAATCTTAAATCTCATTTAGATTTTTTTTTTCCCACCCTCACTGATTAATCAAGAAGTTTCATGGGCTGCGAGTCCTCAGTGGATTTAGATATTAAATATGTGTTCAGCGTTTATAATCAAACACTTGTCGTCTCCTCAGAGCCTGACAGATTTAAGAGAGGAGTCAATAAGAGGTAAGTCTCCACAAACCAAATACACGAATAGCAACTGAATTGTTCATGAATTGTATATTTATTATTCCTTTGACATTTCTTCCACCACAGCCCAGGACGTTACAAGAGACTCTCAGGTAAATGCACTGAATTCATTTCAACAGTTCCGTATGTAGTATAATATCCAGCACATCGTGAAGTCATCGTGGTTTGTTTTCAACAGTTGGACTTCTCGTATCAAGATGGCGGAGCTGATCACACTTGTGTTTCCACCACACAGTTGTCTGAACAGGACGACGGTAAGAGCAAGAAAGCAACAGGCAAACCTTTTAAACACAACATGGCAGAAATGTAAAATATAAAGTGTCCAGGAGCTGTTTGGAAAACATCTCTTCTGTTACTGGAGGTCTTGAAGATTTATAGTTATTTAAATTTACCTGACAAAGAAGTGCTAAGCATTGAATTTGTGTGTGTTTGGTGGTCATCAATTTAAAAGAGCTCATAAATATCCAGCTATTTATACCTAGATGTCAAATATGATCTGAACAATCATCAGAGAGAGAAGGTTGTAGAAGAATGGAATTTTAAAATGGAAAATGTGAAGACATGAGCTGTATGTGACGTTCTTCTCCCTTGTTGCGTCCTACAGGGATGTCTACAAACGACTCGACCGGCCTCACCGTGAGCTCATTGGATGAGAGTCAGAGGAACGTCTCTGAGACGGAGGTCCAGCCTGAGGACGGAGACAAGGTGCTGGAGATGAGCCTGAGGAGTCACAGCAGCTCTCTGTTGGAGCTCTACCCCGACATGATCAGCCGGATAGGACGGGCGTGGCGTCGGCAGAATGTCTCAGAGGCCGCCGACTCGGTGCTGAGGAGGTACCGCCGATGGCGACGGCAGTCGGGTAGAAGCAACCTCGGCAACACCTTCGTCGTCACGCTGAGACACGCCGGCAGAAATCCAGAAAAGGAAACCAGCCAGACGCTGTTAGAGGAGAGCAGAAACAGCTCCGTGAAACGGCAGTTCATGGGGACTGAGACTACATCTCGGTCTCCGTTGAGGACGGGGAACAACGTGCAGCAGCAGTCTCCTCGGAGGACGCGTAGGGAGCAGCACCAGCCGGTCCTCGTGATGGACTTATCCGGTCCCTCTGACACCTTCATGACAAGTGAGAGCTCGCTGAACGAGACCTTCACGGTGTCTGAAGCGTCCCGGCTGGGAGAGCAGCCCTCCACATGCACCTTCAGTCCCTCGCGACCCTGCCATCCCGCCACGAAAGGACCCATAGACCTGTCTCTCAGGTCCAGGAGGCTTTCGCTCAACGCACACTCGCTGCAGGCTGATCGCTGCTCCACGTATGCATCGGAAAACGTCAGAGAAAGACCAGACATCTACGGCTCCCCGGTCAGGCAGAGTCCCTCACATGCAAGGATGATGACCAGCCTCAGTAGATCTCCTCATGGCTTCTCCAGAAGCCCGAGAACGTATTCTGGGGAAAGCTTTTCCAGAGAGCCTTCGAAGCCCAGATTGATCTCCACCCCTCCACAGAAGCCATCTGTGCCACTGAGGATGCTTCACCCTCAAGACTCGCATCACTCCCTCCACCCACAGCTGCGTTCGCCTCAGTCGGCAGCAGCAGCAGCCGAAGGTCGCCACGGGCTCCGGCGGCACCTTTCCTTTGACTCCTCCCTGCCGTCGTTCCGTGTCTCGTACTCTCCGAAGAAGCTCGACGAGGACTTTCTGAAGCTCTACCACAAGTTTGTGTGCCAGAGCAAATCCTCTTTCTTCAACGGGCTCCACTGCCGCCTCTGTGCTAAAAGCTCTGAGGCCAGCAGAGTCCTGTCTTCTTCTTCCTCGGCCCTGGCAGCTCTCGCCCTGTCGCCCCACCGCTCCCTCCTGAGGAAACGCCACAGGGAGCTGGACTGGGACGGCCACCCGCAGTCCAAACGCTACAGAGACGAGCGCTGCCCGTCCTCACCGGGGTCCAAACGCCATGGCAAAGAGATGCTGAGGCGCTGTCGCTCTCCGTCTGAGTACGGCCTCTCCTACAGCTCCAGGAAACCCAGCATGTTGCAAAGACTCAGCGCGCAGCAGCGCTCAGCAGATGCAAATCAGGAAACCTGGATGAGTCGGAGAAGCCACGTGTCTGCTGCTGATTTTTCTGGAATGGGTGAGCCTCCTCTTTAAACATCGTATTATGCTCCAGGAGCCTTTATTCATGTCCTGTCTTCTGTTTAAATGAAATGAATACTTCTACCCCAGAATGATCTTTTTTATATTGGTTACTCACCACGTTACCGTGAGAGTTCTAGAAGAAAACTCTTCTCGCATGCCTCTTTAATGGAGGCAAAACTATATCAAAACATCTGTTTACGAACTCTCACACAACTCGTGCAGCTTATCCGAGTGTTATTCATCCATCTTATGCTCACTGCTTCACAAACACCTGACTATTTAAAGGGACAGTGTGCAGGATTTCGTGGCAACCAACTGAATACTCGTCCGCTCACTCCTCTCTTTCTAAGACGGTAACAAGAGCCACCGATTGGAACACCGTTGGCCTCGCTCAGAAGTCATCCATACCATAATAATATATATATACTACTACTTTAGGAGAAAGAGAAGTCAGACGGCGGCTTGTGGTAAAATGATTGATTAGTTGACTAAGAACTACGGTGGCCTTCAGGTAACTAAAAACGTGAAAGTTTCTCTCTAGAGCCAGTGTTTAGTTTGTCCATTCTGGGCTACCATAGAAATATGGCGGACTCTGAAAAGGACCGGCTCCCTATGTCGACATGAAGGGCTCATTCTAAGCTAAAACACAATAGTTAGTTTCAGGTGATTCTACACTGATGAAAACATGGATATGAATTTTAAATTCCATTGCTGCCAATAGATCCCCCCCTAAAGTGCTACACACTGGCCCTTTAAGACACTTAGTCTGTATAAACAGTAAAGTGTTAGCCAGGATGCATTTATTTTGGTAAGTAGTGAGCATACAACTGGATAAATGAGTCATGTGAGACGGATGTTTTGGTGTTAAACGTGGCCCTCGTTCTTTCCTCCGTTCTTTGGATTCATCATTCGCCGTAGAGGCATGCAAGAACATCCGTTTTATTTAAGGATTCAAGGCAGCACGGTGTGAGTAACTGATATACGAAGTGTTCCTATGAGCAGTTTGTGTAATTGTTCTTTTAATCAGTTTCCTTTACTCGTTCTGCTTCATTCAACAGGAAGTTCACTGGAGAGCAGAAGATTCTCCCCGAGGTGATTATAATGAATTCTGATGTTTGATTTCTGACCCCTGAGTATTAATGTGTTTTAATAATCTCCTTCAGAAAATGGTGAAGAGGGATTTCATCTGCGTGTCCACAGAAGGAAAACTAACGCCAGTGAGAAGCTTCTTCTCTCAGCGGTCCATCCTAATGTTTTTATCTCTTACTGTGTCAACACCATTTGTTTGGTTCATTCTCTTGTATATTTTCTAGCTTAAACCTTTTTACTCTTTGTGCGATGGTGCATCATTATCTACGTACATACTGCCTCGTAATTTTAATTTTATCTGTTTATTATAATAATAAAAATGACTGTCAAAATGCAGTTTGAGGAAGAAAAAAAAAAAAATGAAGTCCTTGTTTTCATTGCAGTTATTCGGTTTATTATTTAACCTTTTCATTATATTCATGCATGTTTTTTAAAGTTAAGAAAACAAAATATCCAACAACGTAACTAAAGAGCCTAAAGGTTCATTTTAGGTAGAAAAGTAATAAACGTGATACGTTTTGGTCACGAGCCTTGTGCGCTTTTCTGACATAATAAATTCTATATAAGGCTGAGAATGTGAACCTTTCTGATAATACATTTACAAACCAAGGCATCAGTGTGGTGAGACGTGTGCACCTGTGATCATACCGTAGTGATATCAGGATGTAGTAAAACAGACTAATACTGGTTATGAAAAGTAATATTTTCAACTTAAAGAGAGTGTCTGTATGAGGTTCTCCTCCACAGTCAGGGTTCTTGTTACGTTCACTTCAACTGAGAGACATTCTGTTAGGAGTCTAACATACGTCCACAGCAGAACATCACTTTGCTCCCGTGCTGGTTCTCCTGCCTGTTTCTATGAACTCATCTACTGTAGTAGAACCCTGACTGAGGAGAACCTCATACACACACACTACAGAACATCACTACTACCAGCAGGATGACATTCCTCTGTAGAGAACATCTGCTGTATGTATTGAACACATCTCTCAGAGTCTCTGATGGCAGTATTCAAATGGTCGACCACTTCCTCCCCAGTCTACACAGAACATTTCATTGGTTGTGGGAGCTCGCAGTAAACTGTAGCGTGTGGCTGGTGGTGGCGTTACCACTCCAGCTCCACCGGGTATTTCCCGGTCAGACAGGCGGTGCAGTGGCCCACTCTCTTGCTGCTGGAGCCGATCATCTCGTCGCCCTGCTGGAGGGAGGCGATGCCCTCCTGAACGGCCGACACCAGGCCCTCCACGGTCAGATACTTCACACTGGCTGCACCTGCACGACATGCAGTGAAGACAAGAACTGCATCATTTTGTTCTGATATATGAAGTTTGTCAAAGAATGCTGTTATTCGCTGTATTAGTACTTACCGATGTATCCAGCAATGTCCTGAAACTCCGGCCTGTTGGCGATGAGCTCCTCCTTGGTGGGGATGTTGATGCCCATGTAACACGGGTAACTGATCGGGGGAGAGGCGACCCTGATGTGGACCTGTCCACGAGGAAGTACAGGTCAGAATACTTATTCTCTTTTACGTGGCAAATCTGAAGATTTTCATTTAAATACAATTCTGCTTAAGTCACAAAGGAAGTAACACGATGGTGACTGAGCCTAAAGCCCACGAATGTAAATCTGTATTATGAACTGCATTACAGTTCAACCTGTTATTATATTAGACAAAAACATAAACATGAGCAGGAAGTACATATCATTTTGTGTAATATGAGTGTTTTTCTTTGTCATCTTGGGAACCAAAATGATCTTCTGAGGGTTGAGTTAGGACCACTATTAAAACATTGTGTCATGTCGCCTCATATACAAGAGTATTCAACATCCTTAACAAACCTCGGTCGCCCCGGCTTCCTTCAGCAGCTTAATAATGGGAGAGATGGTGTTGCCTCTGACGATGGAGTCGTCGACCAGCACCACTCGTTTCCCGGCAAAGTTGTCGGTCAAAGCCCCGAACTTCTTGGCGACACCCAGCTGCCTCAAGCGGGTATTTGGCTGAATGAACGTTCTCCCGACGTAGCGGTTCTTACACAGAACCTCTATGTACGGCAGCCCGGACTACGAGGGGGGAGAAGAAGAAGAGGAAAAGCGTGTGAGCTCCATCAGACGGCCGGCGTGTTGCATCTTTTCTTCAGCGCTGGTGGACTGACCTGCTGAGCATAGCCCAGTGCAGCAGGAGTTGCAGACTCCGGCACGGTGCTGACCACGTCCGCGTCCGTCGGAGCCTCGATGGCCAACTGCCGACCGCAGCGCTGCCTCACGGTGTAGACCATCTGCCCTGTGGAACAGTGGAGACAAACACTGAGCATGCAACACCTTCACCCCCAAATCCTGGCTTCTCTCCACCGGCTCCCTGTTCGTTTTAGAATTGATTTTACTGATCACTTTTAAAGCACGTCTGGGTCTGGCCCCAAAATATATATAACAGAAATGTTGACGCCTTATGAGCCAGCTCGCAGCCCTTCCAAAGTCGAGGCTCAAAACTAAAAAACAGGTGCCTGGGCTGCCTGAGCAGAGACGGATTAATGAATCAATAATCTCTTAGTATCGTATATAGTGTCTTCTGAAGACACATTTTTAGCTGGCTTTAATGTGACGTCTTTTTACTGCATTACTCTATTATTGTTATCTATTTAATATAATATAAAATTATTTTATTCGTTTGTTCTTATAGTACTGAATGGTTTTATTGTACTGTTGCCTTGCTTTCAGTCAAAGCATTTTATAAACTCTGTTTTCCAAAAGGTGCTATACAAATAAAGTTATTATTAATAATTCTACAAGAAAGACAAAACAGTTAAGGATCAAACAAAGCTTCAAACCTTCAAAAATAGAGTCCGGTCTGGCAAAGTAGACGTATTCGAATATGCAGAATGCAGGGAGGTCTCCCTGAGGACGAGGGACAACACTCAGAGACTTGACTCCGTGCCTCGATATCTGGACTATCTCTCCTGGTAGGACCTCTCTGTAATACCTGAGAACCAGGAAGGACGTAGAAATGGCCAATCAATACCCACAATGCTTCACTCATAGTGCAGAACATATCACTCATGTGGTTAAAACTGACTTGGCACCGATGGACTGGAAGCTGCAGGACTCTGATGACACAACCCAGCCCTCGGTGTCCTCCTCTCCGGCTCCTGACCGGGAAAAAAAGGAGACAAAGAGACGTTAATCCTCCAGCAGCTTACAGATCTGACCTCTGACAGAAAAGAAAATGCTCTTTAAGCTCTTGTATTCATCAGTAGTAGAAGTCCGGGGGGGGGCGGGTCTTCCAAGCACACACACGTCTTTGATGCGACGGTCACATGTAAAACAAACACGTTGACAATACCTGAACTGTGCATTTTAGAGACGGGAACGATGCGTCCGATGCAGAGCGGACGGTTTCCGTAAGGGTCACGCACGGCGTAGACGACGTCTTTGAACATCACCAGCAGAGAGTACGACGTAGGCGTCTCCGACATCAGATTTTTTATTCTACAATATAAAAAAAAACAAAAAAACGGGTATATAAATAGTGTAGAATAATTTTAAATATCTATTCATGCAGAGTCCAGTCATAACACTGACCTGGCAACCCAGTTGGGTGCGTCCTGCTCCTCCATAGGTGGAGTCAGTGCCAGCAGCTGGGTGATGAGCTCGCTGTCTGAGCTGGTGGAGAGGCCCACACCGTGGCGCATTACCTGCACAACACGTTCACAATCATGGATTTCACAAGATAGAAAATTATCACAATTTCCGTACATACATTTTATTTATGCTTTAAAGAGCAACTAAACCCCCAAAGCTATTTTTTCATCTGAAAACCTGATAATACAGTACAGTATTTGGGTATTTAGTAATGTTGATGGATTCAGGTCTGAATCATGACATGTTAGTGCAGTCTTTGTATTCCACGTATTATGTTATGAACATGCATAGTGACCATTCCTGACTCTACAGACTGTGGAAGGAGGTTTTTGAGAAGTAACAATAGCCATATTAAATTTAAATTAGCCTGTGAATCGGTTATGCTAATCACTAGCACACACATAGCTAATGCTAATGGCTAGCATACACTGTTCCCAGCCCTAACTCAAATTCACAAATGTTGATGAATGTTTATACCGTTTTTGTCACCATAACAGACCCTTTACAGCCCTCTACCTAACCATAACAATAGTCAGGATGCTACCAATTAGCATTAGCGTTAGCAATAAGCAGAGGCTAATTTAAAGGGTAACGGCTATCATGAATGCTAATTTAAAAACAGTAAAGTCCTACTAAATGTTCAAGTAGCGTAGACCAAACCCAGCAGTTCATGTGGTGCGTTTTTGTTGATCTTTAACTGTAGCACAAAGGCATGGTGGAATTAGCAAGCTAGCAAGCCAACTAGCAAGCCGCTAAAGGAGTAAAATTTAACAACTTAATGCTTCATGCACACACTGCTATAATCAGATAATCAGTCATTTACTCTGATTGACCAGATTCTGTGATGTGCTGATAGCTTAGCTTCAGTGTTGTGCTGTGATTGTGATGCTACACTGGTTACACAAGATGTGACCATAACAGACGCAAGGGCAGCATTTTTTTATGTTCTGGAGGCTTATTTTGAATTTTCAGGGCAGAGGCATATCAGCCTAAAAGCTCTGAGGTTCAGTTAGTCTTTGAAAGAAGAAAGTTATCACACACACACACACACACACACACACACACACACACACAAGACAGATTAAAGACATGTTATGCACAGTGTGAAACCCAGGAGGAGCCATCGACATGCACCAGGCTCAGTGTGTTAACGGGATCCACTCACCTTTTTCCGCAGGGCTTGAGCGTTAACCAGCTCTCCATTGTGTGCCACGGCGATCTGGCCATGCAGAGTGTCCACCACAAAGGGCTGGCAGTTCTGCAGCTCCGAGATCCCAGTGGTTGAATAGCGAGTGTGACAAATACCGAGGTTACCGTAGCGCAGTTTCAGAAGACCCTCGGGTGCAAAAGCAGTGTTTACTAATCCCATTCCCTAAAGAAGAAATAATAAAATTCAGTTACACAATCTGCAAAAATTTACAAATTTAGGGTATACATTAACCCACAATATGTTAATATCTGTATCAATGTTGAAGATGGGGAAATATATATAAGATCCAATTATGATGTAGTATCTCAGTGGAGGGTTAGGAGGGGGTCACACAGACAGACGGGAGGGTGAAGGTGTACAGAGTGGTGTACATTATAATTAAGATCATAGGATGTTTGAATGGAGGTTAGAAAATGATTTATAGTAAACTGCAATCAAATTATAATTTAAAGTTTGGGCTAGTTCATAGCACAACAATGTGCTTATTCACACTATTTATATTTCATTCCATGTCACAGTGTAAATGTATCTGCACATTTGATTACCTTAGTTATGCAATGTCAACTCAATATTTAAATGTCTCTAATGCAATAAAGAATCTTACTTATTATAAGTTATATTCTGCTTTTAGCAGTGTATCCTCGTATATATTTGTAATGCTTTATAACAATAACCGCAGCACATTTAAAGCATTTTATAATGACTTATACGGTCAAGCATCAGAAGACTTTATAATTGCTTAATGGCATAATTAGATTTAATGTTATTTTGTAGACAATGAACACTTTGAGTCACTTATAATCACATTATAACAGATTATAATGCATAATAAAAAAGATTATAATGCATTATGAGAATTACAATACATTGACAATTAGGAAGACATATACTTGACCTTATAAGTCATTAAAAAAGAGGTTTCTATTGTGTTATTGTTATAAAGTATTATGAGTGATTATAACTATAATCTTACAGTTCTAGACTACAACGAATTATAAATTTGTTTATAATGCATTATAGACCTCCATAGTTAAAATGGGGGGGATGAAAAGGTAAACCAATAAAAATTATGTCACAAAAAACAACAACTAATCTGCACAAATTATAAAATTAAATATTAATATGCAGCCATTATGTTGTAGAGAGAACGACCAGGTCACGATCTTTACAGCGACCATTATGGAAATATAGGTCAGTCTATTTTTGACTGTTTTCAAACTTAGCTTCAGTCTAATTGTACAAAGGGGGGGGGGGGGGGCGCCCAGCGTTACCTTGTGGGTTGCGTATGTGGGCGGACTGGCTCCATTACTGGTGACTATCCCAGCACTCTCCTGACCCCTGTGGACACAAACACAGCACATGGAAGTTAATTGTACCAGTGTGAATATAAATCAGTGGGGAGTGAGTGTTTTTACAACCCAGCCTCTTCTCTGCACGCTCGGATATGAATCGTCTGCACTGGATATGAGCCTCGAGGCAAACTGAACTTGTTTGTTTGGAGCAGAGAGAAAAGCAAAGAAACCAGAAACGTCTGGTTCTCTGCTGTGGAGCTCCCACATATACGGAGAGTCGCCTCGCTGCAGTTTTTCAGCCAAATACCAAGCTGCTTCTCGGATTACCGCTGGCCCCGCCCCCTCGGCACACAGCTTAAGCCAGTGGTGAGGCTGCTATTCAGCATGGAGGCGTTGCTTTCAGGCTTAACCGCCCGGTTGCCTAGGGAACCGGGCGGCAGAGACAGAGGGATTGGGGAGAGAAGAAGAAAAAAAAAAAAGAGAAAAAAAACGCGTTTCCAGGTCAGCTCAAAACATGGAGAGAGGAGCAAAGAGACAAAGAGGAGGTGATAGTGAGGTGGCGGAGAGGCAGTGGGGGGAGAAGGAGGTGCTGGCTCTGGTGTCGGCGTGGGACGAGGAGGTGGGAGCGCCGCGCGCCGCCGACAGCAGGACCGCGTTCCAGTCGATCTCAGAGCGTCTGAGGAGGCTCAGCGTTGTGCGCGGCTGGTGGGAGTGTCAGGCCAAGTGCAGGAGCCTGGGACTCCAGACCAGGAAGACAGACGCAGCAGCAAACTACAGCCCAGGAGGGGATGGAAGGCCGGTGGAGGGCTGGGAGGAGGAAGAGGAAGAGGTGGAGGAGGTGGTAGGAGACAATCAAAGAGGAAGCTACTCTTCCTCAGTCCCAAACCCAACGCAGGAAGGTAAATGGAAGGTTTCAACATCCGACTGTGTTAGTATCTAATCCTCCGACAGCGCAGGAGATAAACAAGTCAGTCAAACTGGTTTAAGCCTCAGGCTGAAGTAGAAAACTTTTGCCTGCTCTAAACATTGTGAACGCAGTCTGAAGTCAGATTAGAATAAAACATTTTGTTACTTATTGACTTGATTTGAACTTTTAATCGTTTTCGTCTTTGTGTGGATCCCAGGAAGACCAGCGGCCAAATAAAGAACGCAAGCTCCAACTTGTGTTCTTTATTCCAAAAACAAAACTCTGTCTGTCTGTCTGTCTGTCTGTCTGTCTGTCTGTCTGTCTGTCT